AAAGTAACGGGATTACTTTTTGGGGGAAGTAATCAGTAATTAGTTACTGATTACTTTTTTCAAGTAACTTGACCAACACTGGTCAGCAGTGACGAGCTGGAAGCTCATCTTTTAAATATGGACTTCGTGTGTTCATGTGAAGTTTTGACTAATTTCAAACGTCTTGCAGGAATTTTGTGTTTTGACCGTGCATGCGACCTTGCTCTACAGCGCCCCCTGGTGACCACGCTCGCGTCTGCGTCTGTTTTCATGCAGATTCTGAAACGAGACGTTTAAGTGCTGCTGACCTGTCGCTCATGTCCACTGAGCTGTCGCTGGGCGGTTCGATGGTCAGGACGGGGAGATGTCCTCCTCCTCCACCCCTGCCTCGGTACTCGCCCCGACACTCTGTGCAGGGGGTGCTGCTCCTCCGGCTCGTGTTGCTGCCTCCCTCCGTCTCCCTGCTGTCTTCTCTCCCCCCTGCACTTCCTCCTCCCCCTCCTCCCCAGTACTCTGTATCAGAGCTGGAGGCGGGACGGGACAGCGGCGAGGAGGGGAGGCAGCCTTCATCCATGTACAGGGTGACATCACTGAAGGAGGTAGCGGTGCTGTCCTCATGCATGGAGGCACCTCCTCCTGCCCCCGCCCTCCCCCCTCCTCCCCCCGTCCGGCCCGCAGCACGTCGGGAAGATGTCGTGCTGTTGCGCCACGCACACTGTCTGTAGTCTTCCTCCTCGTCTTCCTCCTCGTCCTCTTCCCCTTCTTCCTCTTCCTCTTCTTCCTCCTCATCGCCCTCCTCTTCGTCCTCGTCATCATCCTCCTCTCCATCTCCTCCCGCTTCCTGTGAGTCTTCACGGCCGGACTGGCAGGTGAGGGAGTCGTCCATGGAGTCTGCCAAGGACTTAACCTGCAGTGCACGAAGGTAACGTCACGACACAGAAAAATACAGAGAAAATATAAAGAGAAAAAATATCCCGAGCTGATGATGAGAAGGTCAGAAGAAGAAAATCGCTGCACAACTCCTGTCAGGAGAAAGACGGCTGTGGAAATCTGCACTCATGTTTCTTTCTGTTTGTTTGACCTTTGCTGAGAACGGCTAAGAATCTGCCGCAGGATGGGAAGAGACTCCCGGGGATCCGCTCTAATCACTTCTGATTCATTTTCATTTAGCTTCAGGAAACTCTGGGACATCCAGCACTTTATAACAGATAAACAAGATATCAGCTGAGTTAGCCTGATTTCTTTGTTAGTTTTTAATATAATATGAGTACTCGGAGGCACACAAATAGAAAATGGAAGATGAGTCAGGAAAGGGCCAAAAACAGAAAATCGTTTGTGGTTAGGAAAGGATTAAAATAATTACTTTTCTGCTTATCAGGAAAAGAATGACTCCACCAATCCTCACAGAGTGCCTCGCCTACTCGGATATTTATTTGTTCGGTTCTAGGCTCAAGGTAACAGTTCCTGCACAATCCAGCGGGCTTTTAATTTGAAACATCTACGCGTACAAATATGTTAAGGTCTGCCTATTAGCATTTTCTAAAACTTTGAAACACATCTCCTGTCTCAGAGGATGGAGATTCCTCAGCGTCCATTGGTCCCAATCAATGAACATTTACTTCCAAACCTGCAGTGACTGTTTCAGTGTTAATTGCTGCCCTGACCGCTGGGACAGCAGCTGCTAACAGTCCTCTAGTTGAAAGCTTGTTTGTGGGGCTCCACAGGGATCATTGTCTGGGCCAATTCATTTTCCAATAATCGCGACTCTTTTAAGACCATCCAACATTTAGCAGAGATTTTCTCCCTTTTAAACTCAGAATATTCAAACACTTCTAGAGGTTAACTGCTGAAAATAAAGCTTCCCCCAGATTCCTATTGTATTTACTGGCAACCTCTGATTGAGTAGCTTTATAAACCAAACTGAGCAGTTTTGTTTCAGCTTTGGAGAATCTCAAAGACTCAAAGACTTTAATAATCTAGATAGTATTATGTGTGAACTAAAAAATGTACAGACTATGACAAAATGAGTTTATTTTCATTGATCAGCAGCAAGTCTGAGATTACTTTTGAAACTTTACATATTACTTTTAAAAGGTCGGATGGTCCTGAGCTATAACTCAGACCTTTTGAGGACTTAAAAAGAAGCAACTGGACTTCTTTAGGTTCATGAAGGTGTTTTACTCTAAAACTTCTCCAAGCAGACACACCTATGGCATCAATTTCAAAATCCTACGTCACCTCGTTTTCAAGTTATTTCATTCACAAGATTTTCAGCAGATTTGACCTCTGAACTCTGACCTTTAGGTCAAGGTTACTGAGATTTGGACTTGTCTAAGAGTTTTAGTAGCTACACCTATGGCATCAATTTGAAGATTCTACGTTGCCTCGTTTTCAAGTTATCGCATTCACAATCTTAGATGTCCACCCCCGCTCTGTCCACGCAGCCCCCCCGCTCTGTCCACAGCCCCCGCCCGTCCATCCACCCATCCTTGCAGCTGGGTGGGGTAATAACAATACCCCCACATCCTTTTTTGCCTGAGGAATAATAATTACTATGTATCAACAAACTCTTTTATGAATGAATTATAATTATATTCATTTATTGTAATAATGTTGTGCACGTTTTGCACATGTGTACTTCAGACCGTGTTCTTTAAATATTTTTCATGACTGTTGAAGACGCTCAAACATCTCTACCTGCTTAGAGAAGGAGTCGTCCACATCTCCTGCGTCCTCTGAGCCCTGCTGACCTGGTGGTCCCTGACCCTGTGGTTGACGCTCATCAAATGAGTACTGCAGCCACCGAAGAAACAACACATCATTAGAACAAACCGAGCAGAACCTGGTGTGTTTCATTATGAGCTTTTTTACAAGTGTGCGTGTACCTGCAACCTCATGTTGGACAGGATGATGCGGCGGGTCATCCTGCTCTCTGAGGCGGAGCTGCGAAGCCTCTCAAAGTTCTTGTTCATGCGATACTGCCTGAACGCCGTCTGGATCGTCTTCGCTGCCCGCCGGGACACGAACGGGCCCCCGTACTTCCTCTCCAGCATCTCCACCTATCAGGCCGTACGATCACGCAACCAATCAGAGAGGGAAGAGCAGAAACGATCTTTGCATTTACAGGAAACAGGAAACAAAACAGTAGAAACTTTCAGCGAACCTTTGTGATGTTGCGTGTTACGATGTGTGTAGTTTTGTGTTTTTAGTGAGTAAACCGAAAATTATTACACCGCTCGGCACATCTGACAGTTCCTAAACTGCAGTGGAAACAAAAGGAGCACGGACCAATAAGGTTTTTTAAATGACGCCTCGTGCCTCCAAAGGCAGCTCTGCTCCTTAGCTGCTAACATTTTTAACCATATACCTTTACTTTTGCTTCATTTTAAAGTAAATACATATTCTTTCACTAATTTTTCTCTTCCCTATGTAAACCTCCTTATTGGTCCATGCTCCACGTTGCTGTGTCTCGGCCTCTGTGTGCATTATGGATAAAAAGAAGGGCAGAAAATAAAGGTGTCCTGATGTGTCCTCTACCCTGCGGGTGATTGGAAAGGCTGCTTTGTAATGGAGGCGATTACACGGAAAACCTCTCACAGGAACCGCTCCAGTGGTGTTTTTAGAGGTGTTACTTATGAGGCCGACTTGTTGTGGCATTGTACCTTCTTGTCCTGGAGGTCTGTAGAGAGCTCATAGCTGTCAGATAGAGCCTTGCAGCGTTTGCTCTCCTCCTCCTCTTGCTTGCGGAGCGCCAGGCTGGCTGGCTGGTGTCGGCTGCGCTGAGCCCAGGCGAGGCTCGCTGGGCTGGGAGGCGAGATGGGTGAGCTGCCCTGGAAGAGGACATGATGAGAAGACATGTAATCAGATTTGATTTACTTCTGCTTTTATTTATTCAGGGAGACAGTACACATAACCCACTGATACAGGTTTTACTGTCAGACTGTTAATTTGGTCAAAAAAAAGAGTAAATGGTTTAGTTTAATTAGCTCTCAGCCGAACGTTGGATTAAAAAGAGATCAATGTGTGTCATTTATTCATTGGGATAATTTGCCCACGGTTTGACCTCTGGACCTCTGTCTGTTCCCCTGCCCTGGAGACCCACGAGATATCGCTGCTGTTCCAACCACGTTTGCTGGTTCAGATTCATCATCATTTGAAGCGACCCCCTTCCACCTTAAATGTCCCACTACAGCAGAACGGGGCCACCAAGCTCTACACAGAGAGGATTAGGATTTTTAAAAATGTGGCTGAAGGCGACACTTCCTTTCATAAACTTCAGAATAAACTTCAGACACCTTTAGTAGCTGCAGATAGACGGTGCATGTGTTTTAGGGTCGGTACCTGTGTATGTGTGTGGGAGGCTCCCAGGGGCCCACCGGAGGAGGGAGAGCCGTAGGGGTCACAGGGGCTGGAGAGGGGGCTGTTGCTATAGCGATGGAAGGGAGGTGGATGGCCAAAGGATGAATCAGAAAAGGTGAGTGCCTCTGGACACTGAGAGTCGCCCTCCACACTGCGAGGAAAGAGACAAAAACATGAGGAGAACGAGAGGACGGGTCATCCATCTGCAGATGCTGCTGATTACAGGTGAAATCATGCTGAAATAATGAAACAGAAGGTGGGAGAGAAGCTGTGGGATGCAGAGAAGGAGGAGGAAACTTGATCCAAACAACTGAGAACAGAATCAGGACGACAAGAAGGAGGAAGAATGGACTGAAAGAAAAGGAAAAGAAAGGAAATCTGTGGGACAGATGGTGAGGAAGAGACGGGAAAGAAAGGATTATTAAGGAAAGGAGGTTAAAGAGCAAAGTGGAAGAAAGGGAAAAGAGAAAGATGAATAGATTCAGATAGAATAGCTGCACACTGACTAAACCAGACAAACTAACAGAACAAACCACACTTTACCAGAGGGTCAAACCTGACAAACTGGACCAAACCAGAGTAAACTGGTCTAATCCTGACTGCAACGAACTGGAACGAATTTGTTTAAATCGACCATAATCAGATAAATCTCTGCCTCCATCTCACTCCATCACACCAACACTCTGCAGGTCCTTTTTCACTATATCCATGAATCTTCTCTCAGATCTTCCTGTTTTCCTCCCGCCCGGCAGCTCCATCCTCATCAGCCCTTGGTCCAGAATATCCACCTCCACAAATCAAACCACAAAACTGGACCTTACACAAAAACAAACTGAACACATCAAAAGGGTCAAATTAAACCCTTTGAACAGAGTCAATCAGCTGGATCAGCAAGACTAAGTCAGATAAATACAAACTGAATGAAAAAGACCAAAACTGTAGCAAACTCCAATAAAACAAACCATAAAAGAATGTTTCTGACATTTATTAAATGGCCTAATCACAGTTACAAACCAAACACAGTGGAACAAAAGTTCAACTGCACCTAACTGGGTCTAAGCTTGAAGAAACCCAGCAAAACCATCCATCCATGCATCCATCCATCCATGCATCCATCCATGGATCCATCCATGGATCCATCCATCCATGCATCCATCCATGGATCCATCCATCCATCCATCCATCCATCCATGCATCCATCCATGGATCCATCCATCCATCCACCCGTCCATCCATTTGTTCATCCATTCATCCATCCATCCATCCATCTTCTTCCACTTATCCAGCTGACAGGCTCCAGACTAAACAGAACTAAAGCAAACAAAAGGAATGAATCGGACCAGTTAAACAAAGCCAATAGGAATTTGGCTTAACCCAGAATAAAACGGACTAAAACCGGAAAAGTGGAATAAAAGAGCAGCTGGCGCTAATCTGGCCTAAGTGGAACAACCCACAGAAACAAATCACAGATTCAGATGAAGTGGACCAAATCAAACCAAATGGGATGTTCAGACCAACACATGGAAAGCTAAGAATAAAAAGACTTAATCCAGAGTAAAACCAAATAAAACGCTCATCTTTTCTGTCTCATCTTTGTAATCATATAACTGGTTGTAGGAGACGCTACTCTTCCTCAGCCTGGTTCTGCCAGAGGCCTACTCCCATTCAGAGGGAGTTCTTTCTCCCCACTGACTCCAAATGATTGCTAAAATTGGGACTGATTGGGATTCTCTTTCATGTTTTATGGATTTAGCTGCACACTCACATTGAAATCACTTTTAATTGGCCAAATCAAAACAACGTGGAACAATTGGCTCAAAGCAGAATAAACAGAAAAAGGGACAAAACAAAACCACTTTTCCTGAACTACCTGTCACGAACTGGATTAATCCAGATGAAACTGGACAAACTGTATTAGACCATCATACTGTGGTCACCTAGCAGTTCACAGTGTTTAATGCCTCA